AATTCTTCTATAATTTTGAAATAATTATAAATTGTATAAATGTAAAGTGGTGTTTTTGAACGTATTGTAATTTATCGAAAATACATGATCTTTATTTTTTATTTTCAAGTACTATTCGTAATCTTTTATCTTAACTTTCTAAGTTTTTTGCGTATATATTCCTTGTTCGTCATATAGAGTACACATATTCCTCGTTTCCCTCGTTTCTCATAAAAAAACCGAGTAACTCAAAAAAAAAATTACTTTTACATGGAAAATAGTGCTAAACAAAAATCACCTTTTGTCAGTTTTTAATATAATGAATAACAAACGCATTAATCAAAAAATATATAGCATTATATTTAATATCAAACACATTTATTATTTCAATATTTTTTCAATAATTAAAAGATATTTTAAGCTATCATTCATATAAATATCAATTACATATATAAACACTAATTAAAAACAAATTTTAAAAAAGTGATGCTTTTTGTTTTGGGTATTTCAAACTAACTGGCTTATACGCCCATCAAATTTAGTTTTGATCATAAAACGGGGATCCCATCTTATCTACATATTTCCATCATAGAAATATCCTACTAAGAATTCGTAACTGTAACATACATTTTGTAGTGTTGTATTTTGGCAGTACGCCAATCATAATTCTATTGTAGATATAAGTAAATTATAGTTTAGTGTTTATAATTTCGCTCAAATAAAAAATTAATAAATTTCGTTGAACAAGTTTTTAATTTCAAAAACCTTGAAAGATCGAAAACATGTAATAGGAGTACCTCGCAAATACGATTTTATTCTCTCAATTATGTGCTTATAATTATTTAAAAAATGAATTATAAGTGACATAATGACATTAGATGTAGTATTTAATATCATTAAATCTTTTCAAGCCATTCTAAAATTACAAAATAATAAGTGACTAAAGAAAACTATATCAACATTTAAAAAAAACACATATTTTTAGGAATACTTCCATACTAAGAACTCAAGATGATAATGAAACATTACTGTTTAATTTAATTAAATTAAGAACAATGAGAACAGACTTAATAGAAATACTATACATTTTAAATAAAAATGTTCATATAATATTCATTCAGCATGTTCATGTATATATATATATATATATATATATATATATATATATATATATATATATATATATATATATAAAGCGAGAGGTTTTTCTTCAGATGGTGAAATAATATAATGAAATTGTTTCTTGGGCATCCAATGTTGTTAGTTTGGAAATTGTATTAATTGTATGTACTAACATGTTCGTTTGGAATAAGCTTTATAATAAAATATATCATTTATTTTAATTTTACATTTTTTTAAATTTTTCATAACTAGACGTTTCATCAATTTTTTATTTCACATTTATTTATTTTTTCGTGCAATTTTGTGTCTTTGTGTTGTTTTTCAAAATTTATTTGTATGCACTGAAGATGGGTCAAATCAGGACCCGAAACGTATGTTCTTAAAATAAAAACATTATTCATTAAAACTGTGTTTTAATTACTGGATGGATGCCCAAGAAACAATTTCATTATATATATATATATATATATATATATATATATATATATATATATATATATATATATATATATGCCAATTTCAATTTCTATGTCAGCAGAAGCATCCAAAACGTAGCACAAAAATATATACAAAAGATTATTTCCATAGGCATGAATATTCGATACATATGACTTAGCCGTGTAAGAAAAGTTGCGAAGAACCGAAGCATGTGTATGAATTCAAGGCATAATGTAAGCAGAAGGGATTCAAACAAAGATAAATCTCGAAGATGACCAAATCCGAAATAGAAATCGGGATCGCAGGAATGAATTACGACTTGCGGCTGAATAAAAAAGGGAGATCCGATGCTGAAGGTACATATATCTGCGGAAAATTAAACTTCTGAACTACTGTATATAGGGGCATCAAGGATCTGACTTAAGGCGAAAGATGTATGTTCGGAGAATATTGAAATGTTATACTTCCAACTAAAAGTATATTTAACAGAATTGTATATTCAAGGCGTCACGTTATACGAAAAACAAGTACTACAAAAGCGTATTTCCAATTCAGTTATTTCGATTTTGCGCTATAAAACATTTCAAACGGAGTCGTGAAAAATAATTTAATTTCGAGTCAATACACAATTCGTTATTAAAAGTATCATTTCGTATTATTTATTGAATGAACCCAACCAGTCAGCTATTAAATACACTTGCCAATGCATTCAGAAAGCGTATCCGAGAACGTATCTTCGAAATATTAAAAGCGATAAAAACAGTCATTTCAGAAGAGAAACGGCAAGTATAGAATACACGCATTTTAAAGGGAGAAATGCGAAAATGAAATATTCACCAACTTTAATAAACCTTTGCGTTCTTCCCAAGAAAAAGTTCGCCCGCAAGAAATATAGCAAAAACTTTCATGAACTCTGCTATGTTAGTGGGACCACATATTTATTTAAAAACAATTATATATATATATATATATATATATATATATATATATATGTAAACAAAACCAAAAAGTTAAAAAAAAAATTAAATAAAATCGGAACTATGTACGTTTCATCCTCAGGATTATAAATATAGTGAAGCAAAAATAAAAATCCGTAATATTAATAATAAAATTATAAATATAAAATATTTATAAAATTCTCGCGCCATGATGTTTGTTGCAGTACTACTCCTCCGAAACGGATTGAGTGATTTTTATGTAATTTAATAATTGCGATCAGTGAGAATCGGTCAACATCTATTTTTCATACCACTAAGTGGCAAGGGTTGGCCACGATCAAGAATTATTATTTTTAGTTTATGGACCACTTTTTTATAATTAGCCTACGGGAAGTAGGGTAAGTTACTGTAATCGTCTAAATATCGAATTTGAAATTTTTTACATTTCTTCACGTTTTGAAGGTTTCTGAACATTTTGGCATACCTCAGAAAAAATGGATGTGTGTGTGTGTATGTATGGATACAATTTTTCGTCCACGTTTTCGGGCGTACGGACCAACCGATTTGAATGGTTCATAAAACATTCAATTCCTATTGATAAGGAGATGTGCTGATTAGTTTCGGAGATACGGAGAAAAGAATGTAGAAAATAGAAATCGAGTTTTTGAGAAATCGGAGCATCAGATTTGAATGATCCAACAAACATTTTGTAATGACGGGGAGAAGTGGTTATTAGTTTTTGGCGAAGGCAGGTCCAGCAGTTTCGGAGATACAATACAAAAACCCTTACAGCCTTACGTTTTCACCCTCTTACCACAAACCCCGATTTCGTAAAAGTATCTTTAGTAATCGAATAATTTTATCCTGCGTATGTTTATTGATGGTTTTGATTTAATTTTTGTTAATTTTATTTTACTTTATGAAAAAGCTTAAATTCCACTTGTAAAAAAACAATACATTTTTATCTAACACTTTTTTGAATTTTGGAGTCAGTTTTATTTATTTAGTTTGGTTATTGTGCAATTGAAAACTACATATAGCTATAATAAATCGCTTCCCTGAAAATCAGTATTCAGTATTTAGACGTTAGTCAATCTGTACACACTAGAATGTAACCAAAAATTGTCAAAGAAGTAATTAGTTTAAATGTACCAGTTATTAATAGCTTGGTTTATCGCAGTGTAATAGTGTAGTGTATTTTAGTATAATTAATTTCTTTTTGCCACTAAATGACGGTCTCGATGAAGCCGAAACGTATGGATAAATAAAGTATTTCAAAACTACTTTAGTTTTTTTTTTACTTGGTGTTACTGCCTGATTCTAAATAACTCATCAATATATATATATATATATATATATATATATATATATATATATACTACTTGGTTTGGCATAGTATATATATATATATATATATATATATATATATATATATATATATATATTATATATAAATATATATTTCTCACGACTACCGTTAGCATGCATATATATTTAAAAAAATTCTGCCGTAAGCTTTAATCAACATTTAAATGCATGTTAACGGTAGTCATGAGAAAAGCTTACGGGCGGAAAATTTTTGAAAATTATATATATGATCCTGAGATTGCTATTTTCACCACATTTGTGTTTTGTCCTTTGAGATGTGAGGTTCAAATTTATTATTTTTCTTTTTAATTAATTTTATAAATATAATTTATATTTATTTTTATTATTTTTTCATTAACATGTCTAAGTATCAATTTTTATTTGTAACGTTTTCGTTTAGTGATTAGTGCATATTTGCTCGTATTGGTGAGTTTCTCTACATTTTATTTCATTACATTTTGACCTCATTATTTCCTATGTTAGATTTATCTCTTTGTATTTTTATATTTTATAGTTGTTATGTTAAATTCGAATATTCTTTTGTCACAATTATAGCCTAACCTGAAGTTTTTTAATTGACCTTTGTGACGTATATTAATGATCTTTTATATTCCATATTATATAATATCGTTTTGTGAAGTAACTGATCTTATTTTATTGAATTTTTTTAACGTTCAACAAAATTAAATTCATAATTTATAATAAAAATCTAAATTTTTATACTATAGCTGATTTTTATACTATAGCTGATTTTGAAGCTGTTCCATTAATATTGTTTAAGACCTATGCATTGGAGAGCAATTCTTAATGAAAACGTTACAAACAAATAAACTTTAAAGAACAGAAAAATCATAATTTATTAACAAACACATAAAGCGCACTGACGTTTCTTTGTAATCAGAATAAAATATTCGATCTTTTTGAGTGTTACCGACGCGTTGCTCTCTACGGCTCACTAGCGCTAAATGTGCGACTAGTTTCGAACTCCTAAACTACCACTTAGCGATGAATTGGATCGCATCTGTCAAATCAGATAAAGTTGATTGTTTTAAGAAGATCAACTTAATAGATTAGCTGATGTTTTATTTGCAATCAATTGAATTAAATCAATTCAAAAATAACCTATAATCAAAATTCATTACAATATTATAAATAATGAGCGGTGTGAATGAAAAATGCTTTGCTATAGATTGCGAAATGGTGGGAGCAAGCGAAAATGTTCACATGCTAGCTAGAGTATCAATTGTCGACCGAGATGGCCATTGCATTTATGACAAGTATGTCAAACCCCAGGAAGAAGTAGTAAATTACAGAACAGAAGTTAGTGGCATCAGACCAGAAGACTTATCCACCGGTGAGGAGTTCGACACTGTGTCACGAGAAGTAAAGGAAATTTTGAAAGACTGCATACTCGTTGGCCACGGGCTGTATTTCGACTTCAAAGTTTTGAAGTTGCGACATCCTAAACATATGATAAGAGATACTGCCTTATATAAACCATTTAGGAAATTTACTGGCGGTAAAACACCATCTCTCAAACTATTAGCAAAAGAAATTTTGAACAAACGAATACAAACTGGAGAACATTCATCAATTGAAGATGCTTGTGCAGCCATGCAGATATATTTACAGCATCGAGAGGAGTGGGAAAAGGCTGCAGAAGCATGAGATACTGATAATATCATGTAGTTTTGTTTATTTGTTAAAAAAATTCATGAATTAAAAATTTTATAAAATTAAATGTTGTATTATATTATGCATATTATGTCCTTAAATAACACTTCTAGATGATCCATTCAGTAATAATTGAAAATTTAAGTATATATATATATATATATATATATATACTAGCTGACCCGGCAAACGTTTTACCATAAGAAATATTTTTAGTATAAAATTAAATTTTTTTTGAACTGTCAAAATTTTGTTTATGATTAATGTTAAATTTAATATTTCGCTTTTTTATTGTGATCTATAATGTTTTGAGTAAGTTTTGGTATCCAAACTAATTTGGTAAGCAAATCAAATAAATACAAATTATAAATCTATTTACCTAATAATTTTCGTAAATATTGCCAAATGTCATCACATTTTTTTAATGTCAACATTTATTTAAATTTATAAACATAAATTTTTAATTAGATTTAAAACTATAATAGTGATTTTGAATATAGCATTTCATCTAATTTGAATATAAATGTTGAATATATCTATATGTATATGTTTTCAGATTATATTTTTTGAACTGCCAAATATTTTTGTCAAAAATCATAAATTTTTTTTTCTGAAATTTTGCAAAAATATTGACATTTATCATTTTAGTGTTTTGTTTTTTTTAGTAAGTATCTGTCTGTTTAAAATTTTCTATAACCTAAGTTGTATATATATGCACACGATGAGCCAATAAAATTTAAAATCGGTTCAGTAGTTTGGGCGTCCATTGCGAACCAACATAGTGGTACGAGGTTTATGTATATATATATATATATATATATATATATATATATATATATTTATATATACATTTAAACATACAATTAACTGCATAATATACATTCACATTAAATCTAAAAAAACATATTACATAAATAAAAACATTTGATATAATACTTATGTAATTTAGATTACTGAATGATGACACACATTAAGTGTCGAAACGTTGTTTCTATATTGACCTTTTTTAATTGGATGATTGGGCTGCAAAATACTTAACATTTGTATCAACGTCGACAAAACTATCAATATATATATATATATATATATATATATATATATATATATATATATGATATATATATATATAGTTTTTTAAACTGGTTATCTGGTTATTAAGTTTAAATATTGTATATTTGTGAGAAGTTTTGCACGCCATAAAACGTTCAAACAATACGAAATCAAACGGGGTATTATTTTCATGATTGTGAAAAGCGCGAAAAAAGAACAATCAACATTTATGAAATCCCTACGTATTGCGACGTCGTTGTGCTTCCAATCAAAAATCCAGCAAGATGAAAAAAACCGTGGTTTATTATGAATAAATTTAGCAATAATACGCTCTTTGTGTTTGCAGTGATCATAAAATGTGACAAAAATAAAAGAGATCGACTTGAAATGTAATAAAAAATCTCGGTATTTAATTTTGATTTCGCAATAAAATTAATCCATGAAACGCATTTTCATGGCTTAAATGGACTCAATGGCATGACGAGATATTGCCGACGGACAATTATATGAGTATTTTGTAGGCACATTTGGAAATACAAATTGCAACAAACGGTTAAGAAACTTATATGCGAAGATTATATATTATATATTAACAATTCCGATTTTTTAAAAAATACTACATGAAAAGTTATAGTTTTGGGCAAGGTCCACGCGATAAAGCGATGTATCGAGATGATGTTCATTAGAAGTTCTAGATATCATTACCGCCAGCTCGAAAAAAGTAGTTCCGAGAAAAAAAGCTAAAATGTTAAGTTGTAGCGGTCGGACCCGAACCGAGGCACGTCACTAAAACGGCTATAACTCAGGAAATAACAGTAATTTTAAAAAATCCTTTTAATGACATATTTTTGAATAACTAAACTTTGAAAATTCGATTTTTTCAAAATTCTACAGTATAATACCCCCTTAAGCTGAATGAATGTTATGTTAATCGTGGACGATATGTATAATGTATGTATAATCGATCGAAGATTACACATGTCCGCAAAATAAAGTTGGCTGCATTGGCTGTGCGACATATGTTTTTCCATGTAGTTTTTACCGCTGAACACGAATGTATAGCTAAAATTTGCGGTTAAACTACGAAAATGAGGAAAAATAAAAACGACAAAATTTTCAATCTAGTGTTCAATTCTCTTGATAATTAAAATCTTATGATTTTTGTTGTCTGGCCCTTTTTACGTTAAATAACTATTGATTGAGTTTCATTTCAATAATCTACTGAGTTTTTTTTTTGTATATCTCAGCAGTAATTTGCCAACATTTACTCCCTCACTCTCTATGGCCCCTGACCAATCTGCAAACATGTTTGCGAATCACTTCTGTCTTTTGCAAAAGAAAACCTTATTAAGTGATGCATAACATCGTGCCTTAAGGTAAATTGCTGGAACTTTTTGTACCGTAATGAAATATTCGAGAAATATTAAATAATTTCAAATAAATTATTATAAATGCTGTAACTTTCATTATTCGTACATAATAGACAAAAGGTAAATGCTTATAAATTAGTTGATGACGTTTGTATAAGTTTACATGAAAAGTAAATTAACAAAGCTTGATTAAGCGAAGTTTGAATGAATGATATCTTATATTTCTAAGAATTATATGAATTTAATTGCAAAGTTAAATTTATTTATCTGAAGTGTGTAAGTAAATTTTAGAATGTTTAAATTTAGAATTAAAATTGAAATCCTAATAATTTTTTATATTATTTTTTTTTGAAATTAAAAAATTTCTTCTTTTGAAATTTCTGAAATATTTTTTTTTGCTTTCTCTAAAACTAACCGTTTCTTCACAAGCAAAATGTTTTTTGAATCATTCGAATCGGATGCTTTATTCTCTCAAAAACTGTAATTTTTTTACACTTTTAGCTCATTATCTTTGAAACGGCTGGACCTAATCGCATATTATTCTCACCATTACGAATTGAATGTTCTCTGAATCATTCATATCGGATATCCTGTTTTTTGAAAAACCTAATTTTTATTTCCTGCTTTCTTTGCTTCGTATCTCGGAAACGGCAGGCCTACCTTTCCCAAAAACTAATCAGCACATCTCGCTATGAATAGGAATCAATTGCATTCTGAATAATTCAATTTGGTTGAGCGGTACTCCCAAAAACGTCGACAAAAATTGTATCCACATATACATACACACACATCCATTTTTTCTGAGATATGCCAAATTCTTCTAGAAAAAGTTTGGGGCATGACATCTACCAGGGCAAGTAGTAACAACTAAAAAAAGTCAATGATAATTCTGATAAATTATTCTTTACTTATTTTTTAATGAAATGACTTGTTTCTAAGTATTTTTCATCATAAGTCAACGTAAACTGCTATTATTATCATTATACTTAATTTGATATGCTCGAGACAAGGACTAAGAGCAAATCGTATTGTGCTGGCTTCAAAAATCACTATAAGAACTATATATTCAACGGTCCAATGAGTAGAGTAGCAATGGTGGTCAACGAACAGTGCTCGAAACTAAACTTTTAAAATTCATCATATAATACTAAATTAATACTCATCACATAATACTTAATTATCAATATTGTCAGAAATAATACTTATTAGAATTTGGTAGCATTACTAGTGTGTGAGTCTACATATGTGTGCATGTGCAGGTGTATATATGTACGTGTGTATGTATAGGTGCCCGTATGCGTGTTTGTATATATATATAACATAATTTAACATTATTATGCTACATTACTATATAATTAACTGTAGGTAGCCGATTGGCGTATAATAAATAAATAAAAAAATAAATAAAAAAATAAATGCAAATAAAAGATATAGGGGCCAAATCTGCCGTAAAATAGACCAATGTTACGTAGGGGCTACGTTACGTAGCGGTCTCATACAAAATTGTATTAAATACCGTCAAAACGACATGCGGTTGCTGTACAATCATGCGTTTTAGATAGAAAACCTAATTTAACCCTTTCGACTCGGGAGTCGGACTGCCAGTCGGTACGCTGCGCTCGGAATATTATAGTGCTATACTTATCTCTCAACTCGGAATTTTTTTTTGTATGGGATTTTTTCAAAATGTGGTTATATTGCTTTTAAATATAGTTATTATGATAATAAAATAGAAAATTTTGAAAATTAAAAAAAATTGCACTCAAAACCATGCTATATTGTTTAAAAAATCATTTCTTCACAGATCTTTATTAGAATTATGGGGATCATGAGCTAATAAATTAATTTTGTTATATATTTATTTATTAAATTAATAAATCAATCAATAAATGAATGTAATAGTAAATTAATTTTTAAAAAATAAAAAAAAATTAAATGTAAGTTTAGTTTGCGACGAGTCGTCGCCGACACGATTTGCCGCCGGAGCGGCGGCATCCGAGCTTAACGGTATAACATATCATGCCGCCGGAGCGGCGGCATCCGAGCGCAACGGTAAAATGACTATGCCGCCGGAGCGGCGGCATCCGAGTCGAAAGGGTTAAAAAACGCTGAAACGTCAAACTGGTTACTCTGAAAAATTATGAGCTGATTTAGTTAAATATAAACAAATTATAATCGGAAAAATAAAAAATGGGGAGTCAGTGCTTAAAAAATGGCATGACTATTCCGAGAAATTGAATTGTAACTTTTGCTTTTGTTGCAAATGTTTCGCTTCTGATGAATTTTGAATGTTGAAGACATGCGTGGTTAGGGTTATGGAAATAAAACAAATATGAAAAATGGAAGCAAAATTTACCTTGGAACGAAATTCTTAAGGCTTTTTTATACCTAGCAGTGTCCATACTCTAAATTTGATACTTATTAACTATGCAGAAATAATACATAACAAATATAAAAAGTTTTTTTTTCAATATAGTTCAAGAGATGTGTAATTTCTTTGCATTTTTGCCTCATTTTTAGACAATACTTTTAAAATACGTTAAAAATTTAACTTTAAAACAACAAACTGATACT